TGTATGAAAAATGTTAAATTTCAATATCTCTGAAAATATGGGATCAGTTTTAAGGATATCTTGTGTTTCCTTGAATTTTGATATAATTTTATTGAATGTGTGTTTTTGACACATTCTATAGAAAAACTTTTAGTATTGTCTTTTAAATGTTATTTTTATATGGATTTTGTTTTGATTTTTGAATTGAATTTTAGACTATTGTCTAGATTTCTCCAAAAACAGATTTTTGTGTCACATTTTATTTGAGATAAATATATCAAAAGTCAGACAAAACTGAAATCTATTCAAGAATTATGATACATTATATCATTTTATATTATAATGTGATTATTGCGTAAAAATCAAATCCTCTTATAATGAACAATACCATAGATTGCGATCTTTGCACGAATTTTTGTTATTCAATGAAATAACAGTAAATCTTTTGTTTTAACAGAAATAAATTTCCCATTTATTGTCATTCAATTCAATTCATAGTAAATTTGCATTAAAGCACTATTTAAAGTCTGTGCAAACAATTTATGCCATTTGTGTTCAAATTATAAAACCATTTAAACGATTCATTATTTGTAAATTTAGTTTCCTATTGAAAACAAAGAAACCAATTGTTTGCTTTTCAATTGAAATATACATTAGTTGAGGAACTTATTGACCAAATTATATAGTTTTTAATATTCATTGAGATATTATTATGAATACTTAAATATTATATTTATAACTCAATTCAATGCAAACTTGAAATAAAATTAAAATCAATACAAAAGGGGAGAAGTTTTATTGAAAATTGGGAAATGTATTGACACAAAAATATAATTATTAATATTTGATTTCAAACTTATATTGTACTTCATTTCACTGAAAAGAGTTTTCAATTCAAGAATTCTTTTGAATAAATTGATTGAAATCTATAGAAATAAATCACTTATTATTTTGAAAATAACACAACACTTGATCTGAAATATAGATTTTATCTGAGTTTTGATTTTGAACTAAAAATATGCCAAAAGAGTTGTGTATTGTGTATGAAAAATATATTTCAAGTGTCTTAACGTTATAATGATTTTGAAGGACTTATTGTTAGGCAATCGCAAGAATAATAACGTTGACCCCCGAGTGTCGTAAAGTTTCAGACAATTGTACAATTAGTTTGTGAGAAAAAAAATGAAAACAAATAAAACATTTAAGACCAGAGGTTTTTTATTGGGTGTAAATGATGTGCACTCTTGAGATGTCGAGTGCTTTTTTCCTCACATAAACACTACATTTATTGCGGAAATCGAAAACTTTATTAAAATTCATTTGACCCGAAGATATAGTTTAATGTTTGCATTCGTTTCACACAATATAATAGCACTTTAATTATGTATTCGTTTAAATGATGCACAACTCTTGTGGCTAAACACTAAAACCCATGCATTAAACAACACATAATACCTATCATTACGTGCAGCGGACTAACAGGCAATGCATTGTATTTATTCAGGTCATAATAGTGCCGCACTCCCACAATGACCCTGGTTGGCTCAAGACATTTGAACAGTACTTCTACGACTACACCGCTCTTATACTTAACAATATGGTGGAAAAGCTGACACAATATCACGACATGACCTTTATTTGGGCGGAGATGTCATTTATGTCGAAGTGGTGGCAGAGGTATGTCATTGCCATTCAAAATCAATTACATTTGTAGCATAACTTTGTTATCAATTCATAGCCTTGAAAATCGGCCGCAAATGCGAGAAGCGGTCAGAAATCTAATAAAAAGGGGTCAATTAGAGATCGTGACCGGCGGTTGGGTTATGACCGACGAAGCGGCCGCTCATTACTACGATATGATCGATCAACTCATAGAAGGCCATCAATTCCTGAGGACAGACGTCGGGCTAACGGAGTCTCCGGTCAGCGGCTGGTCTATCGACCCGTTCGGTCACGGAATGACTTTTCCGTATATTCTTCAGAAGTCGGGAATCAGTAATACATTAATAGAGAGGACACACTTCGGGTGGAAACAGGAATTGGCGTCAAAACAAAGTTTAGAATTCGTTTGGAAACAAATCTTCGAGACGAAGAATATGTCTGACCTGTTCTGTCAAATGTCTGCCTTTGACTTGTACTCAATTAAGTTCACGTGCGGACCAAACACTGATATATGTCTTCAGTATGACTTCAGACGCATTGCCGGCGAGTATTCCGAGTCGACGGCTATTCTTATTACTGATGAAAACGTGGACCAAAGGGCAGCGCTTATGATTGAACAATACGGACGACTCGCCTCTCTGTTCAAACACAACGTAGCGCTCGTGCCGTTGGGCGACGACTTCCGGTTCAATTACGACACCGAATGGGATCAACAATACAAGAACTATAAGCATCTCATGGATCACATCAATAAAAATCCAGACCTTTATAACAACACTGAAGTGACGTTCGGAACACTTAACGACTACTTCACTGAAGTTCATAAACGAATGCAAAAAATCAATGGAAATAATTATCCGACACTTTTCGGTGATTTCATGCCATACGCCGACGTTTACGTGGACTCCAAACCCCACTATTGGACCGGTTATTACACGACTCGTCCCTTTTGGAAGTCATTGTCGCGCGAATTGCAGCACTTCCTGAGGAGCGCCGAAATCCTGTACTCTTTGGCCCGAAATCTCGTTCGACAGAACGGCAACCCAGAGATGAGCGCACGACTCGACAAAGACTACGACTACTTATCGACCGCCCGCCAGAGTCTGGCCCTCTTTCAACATCACGACGCCATCACCGGTACGTCCAAAGAGCCAGTTATGGAAGATTACGCCAAAAAGCTTCACCGAGCGATCGTCGACTCTTTGGGACTCATCTCACACTCCGTTCAGTTCCTATTAGTGAAGGACCACTCAGTGATGCCAACAGACATGAACGCAGCGCATCCATTGACCGCATACCTGTTCCCAGACGTCCAGCGCTCGTCTTGGGATGAGTTGACACAAAAAGTGGTGCTTTCTGTGCCGTCAGTCGACGGAAGAAAGATTGTTGTCTTTAATTCTCACATTCAGACCCGCATTGAAGTGATCAGAGTTTTAGTGAAGAGTCCCGTCGTTAGAGTGATTGACACACAAAATGGTAACGAAATTCAATCGCAAATAAATCCCGTCTTCAACACAACTGCCGCTATTATGAGCGACGCCTTTGAACTGGAATTCATTGTTTCACTGCCGGCGCTTTCATTGACCACATTTGCCATACAATCGTTTGAATACAGACACCGAACACACCATCGATCGAAAGTATCACTATTTCTGAGTGACGCCAAACAGGAAGAAGACAATCCCTTCAGTTTAAATGAAAACAAAATCAATCCAAAAGTCTTCAATTTTGACACTCCTTTCGACAACGACTATGAGTTGGAAACGCCTTATATTAGTGTCCGTTTTGACGGTCGGACCGGCTTTTTGACACACATTTACGACAAGCGAACCAATTATTTGCAAAAAACTCGCCTAATGTTTATGGCCTACAAATCCGATGACTTCTATAGCGGCGCCTATTTGTTCAGACCATCGAAGTTCGATCCGATGCAGAACATCACCGAACGGTTCCCTATTATGAGACTCGTTAAAGGAGAACTCAGCTCCGAATTGACTGTTATTTATCCAAATTATATTGAAGTTAAGTTTAAAGTGTATAACACTTATGCCTCCATTGGAAGCGCTCTTCAAATGCACTGCAAGTTCGATGTCTCTAAAAGAGCAGATCTCATGAATTGGGAGTTAATTATGAGATTAGAGACAGACATCAATAGTATTGACTCAAAAGACGGCCGAAAGAGGTTTTTCGTTGATTCAAACGGCTTTCAAATGATGGAAAGGAAATATACGGACAATTTGGCCATCGAAGGCAACTATTATCCAATGACTTCCGCTCTCTATATTGAAGACAACGATTCGAGACTCACTCTACTCTCATCCCATTCTCACGGAGTCTCGAGTCCTTTCAATGGAACCGTTGAAGTGATGCTCGAAAGAAAACTGAGATTCGATGACAATAGAGGCGTCGGTGAAGGGGTTCTCGACAATAAGCTGACGATATCTCGTTTCTGGATCGCAATCGAGCGCATCGACCAAAACACTATCAACGAACCAATTGTTCCCAATTTATCACAATTAATGCACTCATTATTATCGACACTACTATACGAGCCAATAGTGTTGGCGTCTGACGGCCGCGAAGACCGACCCATACATACGGCGCTCCGATTTCTGAGCGATGGTTTCGATTGCAATCTATTTCTAGTCAATTTGCGAACCCTTCCCGACTCCGATCGCTTCGATGCGCCATCGCTTTCGAGTCTACTTCTGGTCCACAATCGGGACAATAGTTGTCGCGTCAGTCAGCAGATCAGTCCCTCATCTCTATTGTGTTCAGAGCCTAAGAGTAGACCCAAGAAGTTATTGCACGTCAGGACTCAATCCATTAATGAATGCTCGTTAACGGGAACCAAATCATTGAAATGGTTGACTGATTTGAGTGATATAGTGGTCCCCAGAATGCAAATCAATGCATTCAATGTAACGTTTGTTAAATGATATTGAATTTCAGTACTTATGGTATACCGTATATTGTATTATAAATATATTAACATTTGTAACGATATGTGATATTAAGCCTCTATTAATGGTGTTTCTGAATTCATATAATGTTTGGAAACCATTAATCGATTATATATTTTATTGAGAAGAGTATCTAATTTGGAGACAAAGAAATACTGTATAATTGTATTAATTCTGAATTAATGCCTCAATTAATAGTGAGTTTTACGTAAAGGACTTATTTTAGATTAACTTTTAGCTCTTCATTGTTCATGTTTGACAATTAACGGCACATCTGTTCCGTTGTTTTACAAATATTTAACGTTTGGATCAATTCATGAGTACAATCCAAGCCATTAGAAATCGATGGCAATGCTATTGAGTTTTATTAATAGCATTTCTCCCATCGATTTGTGGCACAAATAAACCAAATATTCGCTGAATTTTACGAATGAATTTAAATAATAATAAGTATTACATTAATTATGATAATCATATAATACTGTATTAATAATATATTAATATTTTATTATGAATTATATTATAAACATGTTTGTTCTCGTCAGACCCCGGAATGAGACGGAAGATAGTGTTATGCATCACCCCCATATTTTCAAGAAAATGTAACATATATTTATTATGATTAAAACATACACATAAAAACCGGTTTTGAGCAACAATATTTTAATGTAAAACATTAGGATTAACTCCCGGTCATCTTATTTATATCAGAGGTTATGATACTAATAGATATTTTAATATTAAAAGCAAGTTATTTACACTTTAAATAAAAACACATTAAATTTAATTACGACAATTGTTCAAGAATTGTCTTATCCTTATTATCTGATATAAATAATGTAGTCTAAAATTAATCCTAATGTTTTGCATTAAAATATTGTTGCTCAAAACCGGTTTTTATGTGTATGTTTTAATCATAATAAATATATGTTACATTTTCTTGAAAATATGGGGGTGATGCATAACACTATCTTCCGTCCCATTCAGGGGTCTGGTTCTCGTAGTCTACAAATTTAGTGACTATCAGGCAACTAATTCTAGGACCACTATCTTTAGGTTAAAGTAAATATTATTGTAATGAAATAGCATTAACTGTACTAAAGCTTGATATCGTGTATTGACTGGTATTGACTCACAGATGGTGTGTGTGTTGACTTTTTCCTAAAGATAAAGGTCCTAGAATTGGTTGCACATATAGTGAAATATATATTGAATGCAATAAAAAGATATTTAAATTAAAACTTTTTTGTGGATTTATTTTGTCGCTTAAGAACTTTAAAACTTTTTACAAATAACTAGTTTTTATACAATTGATTCAATTGTATATAAATAGTGCCACTATTTTAGTGACTAAAATCAGTCACTATAAGCGGCTTACAGTATGTCTAATAATTTGTTATATTTAATGCCAAATATATTGTTCTCTCATTTTAAAGTCAATCAAAGCTTTTATTTATGATTGCTTTCAAGCGTTCGTTGATTTGAACGCCGCGTACAAAAGGGAGTG